ACTCTTGGAGTGAGGTAGGGTTATAGGGGAGGCACCAGTGTCCAATCACCTGAAGGTACAAGCCGATAACCCATGGTGTATGAAGAAGATGCCTGTGTCCTGTATTGTAGGATTAAGATCGTTTTCAAACACGCAAACATAACTTCAAACCCAGAGGGTCAAATTCAGTAGGTCTTATAAAATTTTGTTAAAAAGCTGTTTACATTATGGGATATTGAATTGTAGGAGTTGAGCTTAATGGTCTCCGGCCGATTCTTTTCTTTTTTTTTTTTCCAATTCTTAAATTGAGTGGGCAAAAGTTAAATTAAACTGAGTAGGTGGAAGAGGCTTGCTGATTGAATGGGCATTTCTATAGCAATATAATACTTCCAAAAAAAAACCTCTCCATAAATCTTTTAAGATCTAATTACATATCCTGTCAATTCTTGTCATGTGTTACTGAGATTGTGGGGCTGTTTTACCGAAGTGGGTCCAACATCTGCTGCCTATTGGACTGTGCAGTCATATATAGACTCTGCACAGCTGCTGTGCAGAACAGAACAGAAAAGCCAACGTAAAACGATGAGAATGAAGGTTATTAATATAAAGTCTATCTGACTGTATATCTGTTTATGCAACTTCAGTTGGACTTTAAAAACTCTAAAATTAAATGTAAGGTAGGTACTTTGTACTGATTTAGTGACTTGGACCAAGTATTTGTGAAAGGAGTTCACACAATGACTTCTAATCAGCAAATATAAACATGACATTGGTTATAGCCCCTCACCACTCTGAAGACAAAGCTTTTTTTTTTTTTTCTAAGATTTCAATAGTTATACTAAGTATCAGATTTTGGTGTAGTGGTGAGATGTGGTGAGATGTGGTGAGATTCACTGCAACTAAAGCAGTCTGCTCTTCTTTACCAGCTATATATGCCTTTTAGATATACGTGGAGCTTGCAGTGAAAAGTAGAATATAGAGTACACCAGGTAGTGCATATAAAACACCCTTTATTCAATAAAATAAAGAAGAATTGCACTTACAATGCAGCAACGTGACCAAAGCTTGTAACTAGACAAATCAACCTTGATTGTAAATGTATTGTTACCCACATCCAATGGAGGTTGGCATGCCAAGTTACAATCTCTGATCAAGTCACTGCTATTTCATTAATAAAATAAAAATAAATTGCAGTTTTACAGTGTGTTTTATCTACACTGTCCAGTACTGTTCTGGTTTGTTCTAGTTTTCAGATTTTAGTGTACTGACCTTTTCTATAGAAAAAAAAAAACAAAAACTCATATGTACTCCCTAATGCATGGATTTAAAATTTCTAGAACAACGGAGTCTCAGAAATCAAAGCCCAAATCCACACAGTTTGAAAGGTAGGCACTCATTTTACTTTGGAGTAAAACAATAAGAGGAGTTTCTATTTCATAATTATACACAGGCACTTAATACTGGAGTGCTTTTACAGTGCATCATCCTGATGTTCTGAATGTTGGCAGTCTCAGCAAGCCAATGAGACTTTTGTGGCTGTGTCCAAAGTTGCTGCCGTCTTCTGGCCAGAGATGAATTATATGTGCTGCTAGCCACCTCTTTGGCATAGAAGTGACACAAAATACAAAATAACCTCTAGATATTTTCACTTATCTGCCAGACAGGCACTTCACAATTTATATACAAATTGCCATCAGGATCATATATACGGTATTTTACCTGTGTACATAATATGACATCCCCTGTCTGACTACAGACATTTCTTTAAAGCAAAACATGAGCAAAACTAATTGATTGAAATTTACTTTAAAAATGCAATCTGAAAATATTAACATAACAAACATCCATAGCAGATACTGCAAATAAATACTTTCACCCCCACCAAATATGGCAAAGGCAAAAATACCCTAATTAAAAAAAAATGTACAAAAATACTGATTGAAAATACCAGCAATTTACCACATTGTTCCCCAAGCTTTCCTAATCGTGCAGCTAATCACAGCACCACGGCTATGGAATGGTCCTACTGGGGCACTGAGATTAATGGAGCAAAGGTTGGCAGGCTCTGGATCCTGTGCCTAGACTGTTCCCCGTCAATCACAGGAGAGGCAGGAGTTACTGTACCTGTACATCACATACCGTCTACTACATTTCTCATCCCAACCCTTAGAGGAATCCTATAATAGTAAAGCGGAGGCCTTCTTCCTAGCAGCCAATAGTATTTCTTTAAACTTCTAGCCTATGCATGAAAAATTAGTGTTATTGGACTCCATTTTTTTTTTCTCCACTTGCAGGTAGGAACACAAATACATTCATTAGCAGCATTCTTTAAAAGAAAAAAAAAGGAACATGCACCAATGTAACAGTGAGGCTGGGAAGTAAAATGAAAAATATGTGCAGTTACTACAATCCTAGCAGAGGTCAAAGATTTGTAAAGAATCCAAAATCATTAAGTTCTGCTTCAAAAACATAGCTGCTATATAAAACTGGGGACATTTCAGGTCATCCCTCATCAGCCCAGCAGACAAATTAGAATACAAGGCAAGTACAAATCAAGAGGTCACACCTCCCACTCATCACTGCTGATTGCAGGGCAGCTGAGTAACATATACTGTATCCTGATGTGCTCTGCTGGAACAAGAAGGGGTCAAGATCTCCAAAAATCAACCCACATTCGTACAAGGACTATATTATTGTGATGCTCTCCTGTTTAACAACCCATAATGTGCTGAGCCAATCGTTAATGGTTTTTGATTATGGTTTTAGAGTGGCAACAAGGGCACACCCTGATCTGCCTATCATTTAATACAGAGATGTCAAACACAAACAGGCCATAGAACAGTGCAAGATACTGCCATAGCAGCTCCATTAGTTTTACTGAAACTGCACATACCTGAAAATATCCTTAAAGTGATTCTAAAGGCTTTTTCTTTAATAACAAACATGTCTAAACTTACCTGCACAGAGCAGTCCGGATTCTCCTCAGGTCCCCTGCTGGCGGTCCAGGCCCCTACCTCCTGTCAGGTGCCCCCACAGAAAACAGCTTGCTATGGAGGAACCCAAGCATGCGCACTCTCCAGCCGCTGCTCCATGTGTTCATTCCCACACGGAGCCGTGGTTTGGCCCCACCCCCTCTCTTCTCATTGGCTCACTGGCTGTGATAGACAGGAGCCAATAGCGAACGCTACTATCTCAGCCAATGAGGAGAGGGAGTGCTGGGATAGCCGAGACTCCAGCGCACATCACTGGACCAAGAGGGGGCTTAGGTGAGCATTAAAGGGGCTGGGGGGATGCTGCATACAGAAGGTTTTTTACCTTCATGCATAGAATGCATGAAGGTAAAAAACCTTGAGCCTTTACAACCACTTTAAGCACCCTAGGGATTATTATACCCATTGTACTATTATAATAAAATATTCAATCTTTTAAAATTATTTAATGGATTTGATTATTGCAACTTTGAAAAGGTACCGATTTATTTCTGAGCTTCTCAGCAACAACATTAAGTTTGGAGGAAAAGTTTTATGGAGAATGCCCCCCTCTAGCATCTCCCTACTAGCCTAATAGACCCCAGTAAGTCCAATAATTGCCAATAGGAGGGTGTGGAAGAGGTCAGGTCAGCTTTTGACATCTACATATCAGAAGTGCTCTGGATATCAGGGCCCCTGACCAGTGCCCATGAAGATGTCAGTTATGTGCAGGCACCGACATACCATTATGGTAGATAGTTTAGTTTTAACACCAGTTTGACATGCCTGATTAAACGTCTACGACTATTTTTTTTTCTTTTTAGGCTCCAATCACTTTCCACAAACATGTGGAAAACCTCTGCAACTGACCCTGATGTGGACTAGCATAGTTCTCCGTATTTAGAACCGCTTACGCATGACAACTCCAGTTTCAAAAAACACAATAAAAAGCATCAGCAATCTTGGGGAAATTGTGCTGCAAATGAGCTGAAAAAAGCATATAATTGATGTCCTTGTTTTTGGAACCAGCTTTGAAAGTTTAAAGTATTTTGGAAAGACTTAATATGTACAGAGATTGGGCTTATTAAGTCCAGTTTACCCATGCTAAAAACCATCCCACTGTTAAGCCTGCTTCCTATGCATTAAAGAGACAAAGGGTGGATACTTTGATGACACCTAACAGTGATGTTCTAAGATGCAAAATGATAGCCATAGACTGCCATGGTAAAAACTCATTGTGACCTATACTTGCTGCATTGCCACGATAACACTCTGATTTTGGTGGAGTTCAGAAGCCTACGGGATAAGAGATGCTTTCAAGTATACTAAAACTTTTAGAACAATAACCGCTTACAATGTCTGTTTCCACTCTTCACAGATTTTTTTCCCTCTTCAAAAGCAGGAGCTCTCCACATAACTGCTGTTAATGAAAAAGTGTTTTAAGCTTGGGACCAGAGTTGACAAAGGTCTAAAAGACCAACATATGCTCAGTGCATCTTTGCCCCTCCAGCTTTATGTTCAGCAGACAGGAGCTTGGGAAAAGAACTAGTGTCAGAGGACAAATAATGAACAAAGCAATCTTGCTACTTCCATCCCCCTGCTCACCAGCCCAAATAAAGCTTATTAGATGTACATCTTTTATCCTTAATGCTGTCAGATTTACGTTATGCACACAACAGAATTTTGTTAAAAGAAAGAAACAGTTTTTCAAATGAAAGTGCTCGGAGTTCTGAGTGGAGTCTGTTCCATCAAGACGAGGAGAAACCACTGAAAGCCTTCAGCAGGAGGGGATCTTGTTTCTTATAAATACAAGAGAGTGGACATAAGGGAAGCTGTGTTACAGCCATGCGCTTGTTTGGATTTGGTCCAAAGAAACCTGAGGCGGTTAGAAATAGAAAGTCATCCAGTGAATAGCTTGTTGTTCACTAATGTAGTAAAGGGTGATTCCTGACAGGCAGGCTGGTTCAGGCTTGTACTTTGGAAGTGAACATTAAGGTCCTGTGTGGAGCACTTCAAGTCCTGGGGAGGCAAGTGTTTCCTTTTGGTTAAACATCACCTTTTTTGCTCCCAAATGTCCCCCATATTTAGATCGAGGTCCTTGAGTCCTTTCAGAGCCTGGACATTTCCAGTGTAGAATGCAATATCTGCAGCTACCATTCTGCAAATAAAAAAAAGATGGATTGTAAATAAAGTATGAAGATGAAGGGTAGAGCAATGTCACACACCGCTTTAGGCAATCATTTCCCATTGCCCCACGGGAAGTGAGAAATCACCAATAAATCACCATAAAAAAATGTATATGAAATCTAAATTTTTTTTGTAAAATATACAGGTTTTATTTTTTGAGGCACACAAACACAAATCTAGCCTCAAAACTGCAAACCAGCAAACAAAGATACCAAAAATTGTAAATGGTAAACACATTAAAATTGGATTCTTAAACTCAGTGTCGTATCTTTTTCTTGGAGTCTACTGAGGGACACAGGAAGCCTTAAACCTTCAACTTAAACTGTCATTCATAGGAGGAGTGGATACTGGCAGACAAAAATATTGTAGACCAGCCCAGGGTATAACCCTTCCTACTACTAGTATGCATCAGTCTGTAGCAAAGAAGTACCAAGAGAATGATCACAAACACAAAATCTACATATCAGAAGTGCTCTGGATATCTCCATATGTGGATATCTGTGTCTCTCAATGGACTCCAAGGAAAGTATTCTTCGGTACTGTATGTATGAGAGCAATCCTATTTTCTTTGTCCATTGAGGGACACCGGTAGTTTTTAACCTTCGGAAACCTCCAAATGCAGTCCAACTAAGAGGTGCAAAACACTACAAACAGCAGCCAATCAGGTTCACCTAACAGCAGGAACTCTGGGCTGCCTGCAAGTCAATAAGCCTTCTGAAGAACACTACACCAAAAGCTAGCATTAGAAGAAACTGAAACTTCCACCTGGCATAACATGTCAACGGAAAACCAAGCGGCAGCTTTATTTCCTTGGGGAAAAAGGCCTGATGCTGAAATGCCAAAGAAGCATTAACAGCCCTAGTGAAGTGATGTACCAGATATACACAGGAAGGAAGGTTTAGGCCTCAAAACCACCTTGTCCCTATTTAGAGCCAAAAAAGGTTCCTTGGAGAATAAAACTGCTAGTTAAAGTGGTTGTAAAGGCCGATTGGGGTTTTTTTTTATTTTAAACTAAAAAAAAACCACACATTTACCTTCTTGGTGCCATAGTATTGTGTAGAGTGGACTCCTACCTCCTCTTCTGGGGGACCCAGCCAGCACTGCAGATGTCAGCATTAATTCCTTCCATGCCAAGCCAGTAGAAAAAGAGGGGATTCAAAATAGGCATGCAGCAACCAGTAAAAATGAGGGAGATTCTGGTGCCTGGACTAAATGGCCCACTTACAATGCGTGCAAAGGCAATTATAACAGCTCTGGAAGTGGAAAGCCAGAACAAGTCTGTAAAATATTCAAGCTGGGCCTACTACCTAGATGTTACTTCCAGGCCTATCCGAAGATGTCCAATACAGTGAGTTATGGTCACAGTAAGACCATAAGTTAAGTTTGAATACCACTGTGTTGGGTAGCTGAAAGAAAGCAAAGAGACCTCCTGCAGCTACATAGACACAAATCTTAATTTAAGAGAAAACAAATTGTTATTTCCCAGCTTGGCTGATTTAAGACTAAATCTACTTTTTTTTTTTTTAGCATTCAGCTTCTTTGGACATTAGTAAAATCTGAGGAATTCTGGGCTAGCCTACAGGTTTTCTTGGTTGCCAAATCCCAATCTTCCTGTAGGTGATCGTATAACCCAAAGGTTTGCAACTTCCTGTGTCACGCAACAGACAAAAAAAAAAAAAATCTTGTAAAGTTCATCACTTTAGAGTTGAACTTAAAATGATCATTATACAGGATTTCTATAGCGCCAACAGTCTGCGCCACGCTTTACAATATAAAGGGAGAAAGTACAATTACAACACATTTCAGTACAGAAGGAACAGGAGGTCCCTGCTCATGGAGCTTACAATCTAAAGGAAGGGGGAGGTGGTACAAAAGGTGAGAGCTGTAGGCGATGTTATGATGGAGGTGGCTCAAGTACAGTTCTTAGGGGGGGTAGGTAGGTTTCCCTAAAATGGTGATGGCCGTTAGATTATTCTTCCACGTTTATTGCTTGTGGAGAAACCTAGGAATTTTTTACAATAGGTGCCTAATTATGCATGACCATTCTAATGTTTTATATGTATGTGCATGTTGATGGGGTTGTAAAGGAGTGGCAATTTTGGCAGGAGACCACCAGAAATATCAAGCTGCACTGCCCAGTAACAAAGTCCTATATCTAAGAGACAAACATGTTAATATGTATAAATTTTTCAAGAGATTATTATTGACGTTATGGCGGTGAGGATGAAACAAATTAAGCACAGCTTAGAAATCTAACAGAACTGGGGCAAATAAAGCCCAATACATATTCTACTAGCAAGGATGCATTGGAAACATTTAGATAGAATACGATTTTTTATCGCTTTTGCCTTATAATGAAAACTACAAAATATGTAGCTTTCTGTCATATTGAAAGGTCATGTACACTATTTACAGCAACATATCAAAATGGCTGTGATACACTAAATAACTAGACATTATTCCACAATCCAAAATAAAAACCAACAAAAAAAACAAAAAAACAAACCACAAGATAACATGGTGCCATCATTAGTCTGAAAAATATACATTAGAATTAAGCTCTGCAGTCTCTGCTGACACACATTAAAAAAAAAAAAAAAAAAAAAAAAAAAAAAAGCTTTAAAAACCAAGAAAATGTCTCTGCAAAAGAACACAACTTATGTCCCTTATTTGCTGCTGTAAAATGTTAGGAACTCTCACCCGTGCAGTGGCCCTCCGTCATTGGTGACATTTAGGTGACACAGCTGACTCTTCAAGTGAAGCCTGCAGCTGCTATTAATTCGAAGGAACAGAGCCTGCAAGTAGAAGACTATCATTACTTATATTATAATGGGACAGCAATACAGGTGTGTTAACATAATACAGTAAACGAAACAAAAAACATTTGGGTATAATAGAGAAGAAGAATAATTTGGTAAAACTAACTGTGCAGAACCTTACTGAAAGTACACAGTGTGAGCACAGATGCATGGCAAACCTACATGGAAACCACTCCATGAATATAGGGTTCATTTTGGTCACCTTTCTTTAAAGTGCAACTTTAACAAAAAAGTGTCATTTTGATTGTCACGTTGTGTAGATTACCCCTCTTTTACTATCCTGGTGGAAGTTCGTCAATGAAAAATTTAAAAGAAAAAAAAAAAGACAGCAATAAACATCTGACAAAACAGTTGTCTTGGTGAAGCCCTGCCAGCTGCCCTCCACCTACTATCATTACTGGCAAACATAATCTACTAAGTTACAAAAGTTGAAAAGCCAGAAACCAAGGTACCAAAAAGTATGTATATGAAAAACTTTATACAGAATTGTACAAATATATACAATTTTGTATAAAGTTTTTCATATACATACTTTTTGGTACATTAGTTTCCAGCTTTTCATCTTTTGTAACTTACTATTATTATTATTATACAGTATTTATAAAGCGCCAATAGTTCGCTCAGCGCTGTACATTACAAAGGGAGACAGAACATGTGACAGAACAATACCAATACAATGCAATACATGAGGGGATCGAGGGCCCTGCTCTTTCGAGCTTAGAATCTAGGAGGGAGGGGATGGTGGCACAGGAGGAGATAGCTGTGGGGGATGGAGTGGTAGGAAGAGTCGAGGAGGTCGGCAAGTTAGCAGGGGGTGGGGTAGGCTTCCCTGAAGAGATGGGTTTTCAGGGTGCGCCTAAAGGAGAGGAGAGTAGGTGATAATCTGATGGGTTGGGGCAGGGAGTTCCAGAGGATGGGTGACACCCTGGAGAAGTCCTGGAGGCGGGCATGGGAGGAGGAGACCAGGGAACTAGAGAGAAGGAGGTCTTGTGAGGAGCGGAGTGTGCGTGCTGGGCGGTACTTGGATATTAGGTCAGAGATGTAGTACGGGGCAGTATGGTGGACAGCTTTGTACGTCAGCGTTAGGATTTTGAATTTGATCCGTTGCGCAATCGGAAGCCAGTGGAGGGATTGGCAGAGGGGGGTGGCGGAGACAGAGCGGTTGGAAAGGTGAATGAGTCTGGCAGCCGTATTCAGGATCGACTGAAGCGGGGATAGCCAGCGGCGAGGCAGGCCAGTGAGGAGGGAGTTGCAGTAGTCGAGTCGTGATATGATGAGGGAGTGGATGAGCTGTTTAGTGGTTTCTGGGGTTAGGAACGTGCGGATTTTGGCGATGTTGCGGAGGTGGAGTCTGCACGAGTTTGTTAAAGATTGGACTTGGGGCTGGAAGGATAGGTTGGAGTCCAGAATGACACCCAGTACTCTGGCCTGCAGGGCGGGTTTGATGGTAGCGTTGTTGGATGTGACGGAGAAATCAATGGGCGGTGGTGTCCGGGCTGGGGGGAAGACAAGAAACTCGGTTTTGGAGAGGTTCAATTTAAGGAAGTGGAGCGACATCCAGTCTGATATGTCGCTCAGTAGGTGTGTGATTCGGGCTGAGACCAAGGGGGTGAGGTGGGGGGTTGAGAGATAGATTTGTGTGTCGTCGGCATAGAGGTGGTAGTTGAAGCCGTGAGAGTGTATGAGTTGGCCAAGGGAGGAGGTATAGATGGAGAAGAGAAGGGGTCCGAGGACAGAGCCTTGAGGGACCCCAACAGAGAGGGGGAGTGAGGGGGAGGTGGTAGCATTATAGGTAACGCTGAAGGAGCGTTGTGACAGGTAGGATGAGAGCCAGGAGAGAGCAGAATCTCTGAGGCCGAGGGAGTGTAGTTTTTTGAGGAGGAGGGGGTGGTCGACTGTGTCGAAGGCCGCAGAGAGGTCAAGGAGTAGGAGCACTGAATAATGGCCATTAGCTTTGGCGGTTAGCAGGTTGTTGGAGAGTTTGAGTAAGGCAGTTTCGGTGGAGTGTAGGGGACGGAAGCCGGACTGTAGGGGATCGAGGAGGTTGTTGTCGTTGAGGTGAGAGCATAGGCGGGTGTAGACTAGGCGCTCGAGGAGTTTAGATGTAAATGGGAGCAGGGAGATGGGTCTGAGGTTGTTCGGGTCATTGGGGTCCAGGGAGGGCTTTTTAAGTATGGGGGTGATGTGTGCATGTTTCAGAGGGGAGGGGAAAGTGCCTGAGGAGAGGGAGAGATTGAAGATGTGGGTGAGGGAGCGTAGGATGGAGGAGGAGGAAGGTCGTAGGAGTTGTGAGGGGATAGGGTCGAGGGGGCAGGTGGTGAGGCGGGCATCAGAGAGGATCTTGGAGACTTCCTCGATGGTAGTAAGGTCAAAGGTGTGGAGTGTTGGGGGAGCTTCAGTATGAGGGATGTAGGGTGGGGTGGAAGAGGAGGTCAGAGCAGTGGTGGGGCCGTGGGAGAGGGGTGATGAGGGGGTAGCTGAGTGAGGGTGAAGGGGGTTGGAGAGAGTTTGAGCAGCGACGAAGTCCCTGAGGGTTATGTCGAGGGGGAGGGGGGATAAGGGGGTAGCTGTGTGAGAGGGGACGGGTTGAGAGGGTGTGTGAGTTGCAGCAATGTCCTTGCGAATTGTGTCAATTTTGTTTTTGAAGTGATTGGCAATCTCAAGGGCAGTGAGTGAGGTGCTGGGTGGAGGTGGGGGTGGAGAGAGTAGAGAGTTGAAGGCAGAGAAGAGTCGGCGAGGATTGGAGGAGAGGGCCTTGATGAGGGTCAAGAAGTAGGCCTGTTTGGCAGCATGGAGGGAGGAGGTGTAGGTGCGGAAGGCAGATTTATAGCGGGTGAAGGCTTGTTGGGATTTGGTTTTGCGCCATAGTCGCTCCAGGGCACGACTTTGTCGTTTGAGGGTTTTGGTGTGATCAGTCTGCCAGGGCTGGAGCGGTCGGGGTCTGATGTTGCGTGTGGTTAAAGGCGCTAGTGAGTCAAGGGCTGTTGAGAGCGCATTGTTGTAGGCGGTCAAAGCCAAGTCGGGGCAGGACAGGGGGAGGATGCGGTCGTGGAGTTGATCAGCTGCAGAGTGGAGGGAGGCAGGGTTAAGGTTGCGGAGTTTCCGGCTGGTAGTAGTGTGACATTTGGAGGGGTAGGCGTTGGAGAACGAGGAGATAGAGAAGGTGATCAGGTTGTGGTCAGAGAGAGGGAAGGGGGGGTGTTAGTGAGGTTGTGGGGAGCGCAGCGGTTGGAGAAGACAAGGTCCAGGATATTTCCGTCGGAGTGGGTGGTGGATTGTATGCACTGTGCAAGTGCAAAGGAGGAGGTTAAAGGTGGAGGAGACGGGCTGTGTCCGGGTTGTCGAGGTTGACAGGGATGTTGAAATCCCCAAGAATTATGGTGGGTAGCTCAGAGGAGAGGAAGAAGGGTAGCCAGGAGGAGAAGTCATCCAGGAAGCGGGGTATGGATCCAGGAGGCCGGTATATCACAGCAATCTTCAGGGGGGTTGGGGAGAATAGTCGGAGGCAGTGGGCCTCGAAGGAGGAGAAGGATAGGGAGGGGGGGTTTGAGAGGACTCGGAAGGTGCTCTGCGGTGACAGGAGCAGACCAACCCCACCACCTTTACGACCGTTAGGCCTGGGTGAGTGGGTCCAGGTGAGACCTCCATAGGAGTGCAGCAGGGGAGGTAGAATCAGTGGGCTGGAGCCAGGTTTACTGGCAAACTATATTACGTTTGCCAGTAAAGATAGTAGGCGGATGGCAGCTGGGCAGGGCTTCACCAAGAAATCGGGGAGTTGGGTCCCTAACAACAAAATGAAAACTAAACGAGCGAGGCACACATAGGAGACTTGCTAACGCAGGCAGTCAGTGTAAAATAACACAGAGAGCTCATGACCCAAGTTAGGCTATATCCTTAGCAAACTTTAATATTATTCATTTTAGATTACAGCAGAGTAAAATAACAATCAAGTTCACCAAGGTACAAAAAAGACCGAGGTAGTGTCTTCTGATGTATTAGAGATTCGCCAGAACCTTTATACACCTTGAAATGGGCCTATATGCCTTGAAATAAAAGCAGTACTACCTCATATTTTTGGCTTAAAGTCCAATTGTCTGTTACTGCAAACAACCCCAGTCCATTAGTACATTTCTCGGTTTTCTTTTGTATGAAACCGCAAAACCACTTTCTTACTGTGTATTCTAACTCTGTCTTTGTTAACCAGGGTGCCTTTTGGGTTCTTCAGGGGTGCCTTGGCAAATTGCCTAAAAATTGCCCCAAATAACCCAAAAATGTCAACAAGCCAGCAAGTGCAGCATTACAACCTTGGGCGCTGTGATGGCAGCCATTGGTCGATGATGTAATTGGTTGAGAAGGAGGACATCAGGCGCCTACATCTTTGCTCGCCCCTCTCCATCAGCACTGGGGTCATTTAACTGAGTGAGGGAGAAGAATGGTGGAATACTAATCAGTACCAGTATACAAAGGTGTATTAGCTTTGTTAGAATAAATCACCTCCAATGTTGGGTGCCCTACATATAGGGATGTTGCAACGTTATGTAAAACTATTAAATTTAGGTCTTTACATTTTAGAATTGGGCGCCTCGAGACAGTGTGGTTTATTAAAGGGTGCCTTGACTGAAAAATGGTTGAGAAACACTGTTCTAACTCATTAAAACCTTGTAAGATGCTCCCCTTAGTTATATGTGGTTGGATTCAAACAGAATATGAATGTAGCCTGAATATACAAAATGGACTCGAGAGAATGGCTGAACAAATTCCCTATAAAAGCAGATATCTTGTGCTGCCTGTTCTTAGGGAGGATTTTCAAGTAAAAAACTTGTAAAAGGCTGACATGTTTATTTTATATGGAACAGACAGCCTTCTGAAATATTAAGCTAGTTTATGGGAATTCCTTACCACTGCATTTTCTAATAAGCTTGTGGCCATCCAATAGTCAACACATAGGTTAATGATGATTAGATCAGAGCAACCCC